TTTTTTTTTTTTTACTTTTGAGGCAGGTTCTCACTAAGTTGCTGAGGGTCTTGCTAAATTGCTGAGGCTAGCCTCGAATTTGCAGTTATCCTGCTTCAACCTCCCAAATCGCTGGGATTATCGCTGGGGTATATGCCGCTCTGCCCAGCTTTGATTTGTTCTTAACTACCGTAATTTTGATTTCCTGGACTTTGCACACCTCCTCTCAGATCTTTTCTGTATACTGGGACAAATAACTTTGAATGTGGCTATTAATCTACAGGCACTATGGTGCTTGAGTGTTAGGATACAGTATTCGAGGTTTTATGTCATTTAATTATTATGAAACCTTTTTTTTTTCTTTGAGGTTGAACCAGGGCCCTTAACCACCAAGCCACATCCCAAGCCCTTTTATATATTTTATTAGACACAAGGTCTTGTTGCGTTGCTTAGGGTCTCAATGAGTTGCTGAGGCTGGCTTTGAACTCACAGTCCTCCTGCCTTAGCCTCCCAAACTTCTGGGATTACAGGCATGCGCCCCTGCGCCTGGCTTTATTGTGAAATCTTAGAAGCCTCTTTCCTCTGAGCCTGAATACCCACCTCTGCAAGAATGAGAGGATTCCAGACTCAAATGCCCCCAGGTAAAAGGCAGATAATGTAGAAGGTGTGAGAAAATAAAGGATAAGGAGATTTGTGAGAGATCAGGAAGAGTATGTCCATCCTAAAGGCATTTTAAATACTGAAAAGTACTGAATGTACCCACAGGACACAGAGAACATTATTAAGGCTCTACTTTCTATTCAAATGACTTCCAAAGCCAAAGAGACACACACTATTGTTCCCTGATGTAACTGTCACTCAAATTACTTTTCCCAAGTCTCTTGCCTTGCCAGTGGCAACTCTCTGGTCACTCATCTTGGCCACRTGATCTTTTCCTCCCCTCAACTCCATGTGGCTGTCTCCACTACAAAACCCACGACCTTCATTTCTTCTCTCAAGTCTGACTCTATCCTTCAACCTCCTACTGAATCCCCAATTTTTCATCTTCCAGATGTTAGATCTTCTTCCTTCTGACCCTTCACATTCCTGATAAGTGCTGAGAGGTAACAGGGATAAGGAGGAAAGCACAAGACAGGCACAGTGGCACACACCTGGAATCCCAGTGCCTTGGGAGGCTGAGGTAGGAGAAACCCGAATTTGGGCAACATAAGGAGAACCTGTCTCAAAATGAAAAAAAGGTCTGGGATGTGGTACAGTGCCCTGGGTGCAATCCCGCTGCCCTAAAAAAGAAAGAAAAAGAGAAAGAACACAGGTTTTGGAGGCAGGTGTGGTTTCCACATTCTGGCTTTGCTTCTTTAATTTGTGAATCATCATGTGTAAGTTACTTATCTGAGTCTCCTTTCCTCTTCTGAAAATGAGGATAGGACAGGCTGGGGTTGTAGCTTAGTGTAGAACACTTGCTTAGCATGTGTGAGGCCCTGAGCAACACACACACACACACACACACACACACACACATACACACACACACACACACACACACACACACACATGAAAATTAGGACAAAAATACTCATCACAATTTCTTTTCTTGGCGAAAGGGGTACCGGGGATTGAACTCAGGGGCACTCCACCACTGAGCCACATCCTCAGCCCTATTTTGTATTTTACTTAGAGTCAGGGTCTCACTGAGTTGCTTAGGGCCTCCTGTCTCAGCCTCCCTACCTGCTTACAGGCAGGTAGGATTACAGGCATGTGCCACCGCACCCAGCTTCTCAGCACACATTGAGGATCAATCAAATAGTGAGAGCAAGCCCACTAGTGCTTGGCACACAGTAGGTACCCTCATGTTTTCCCTCAGATCTCTCCATTACCTAGGTCCCTGTCTGTGGGCCTCTGGCCAGCCCCCTGTTCACTTCACAGGTCGTTTTTCATCCCATGCTCATCCCTCTCTCTCTGCCCTCCTCATATCTCCAGCCCCATCACCTCTGCTTCCTAAACCTCCATTTTAGTCGGTAGCCACTCATGCATGCGTCCTTCTGCCAAACAAAATGTGGAGCTCATGGGCTGTGCCGAGGGGTGAGGGTCATGAACAGTAATGACAGATACAAGGTGTATTTAATAGGAGTCAAAACCATGCACATGGGACCCGCAGTTGACCACAAACCTGAAGCTGTCTCCTGTTTCCTGCCCTCGATTTCCCAAAGGTCTGCTGTCTTGCCTAAAGGTCTGCTGTCTTGCCTTTATTACTTCGCTCATCTTCCCTCTTCCCTCTTATCTGTCTCCCAGTTCATTTGTGTTGTTGTTGTTTTTGTTGTTTGTTTGTTTGTTCAGGGGATTGAACCAGGCACTTAAGCACTGAGCCACATCTCCATCCCTTTTTATGTGTGTTCTTATTTTAAGACAGGCTCTTGCTAAGTTGCCTGATGCCTTGTTAAGTTTCTGAGGCTGGCCTCCATCCTCCTGCCTCAGCCTCTCGAGTTGCTGGGATTATAGGCGTGTGCCACCATGCCCAGTTCCCAGGACACCTTTAGCTTCTTATTCACCAAGTTATGCGGCTTGTAATGAAGAGAACAGGCTGTAATATACTGAAAGGGTCTGGGTTCCAACCCTTGTTCTGTCACCAGCTGTGGGACCTCATGCAAGTCACTTTGATTTTCTGGGTTACAGTTCCTTATGTGTAAGATGGAGATAATGTCTACTTCATTGGGTTGCTGTGGGGATGAAATGAAGCACTTGGCAGAGATTCACACACAATGTCCCACAAATGGTAACCCACCCTGAGGTTTTCCGCCTCTAATGAGACTTTCCCCCTTCTTGCTTCTGCTCTATGACCTAGATTTCCCTATTTCAACGCAACATCCTCACCACCTCTTCTATTTTTCTGTGCTTCTTTTTCTGTTCGTTTGGACCCACAGAATGTCCCATCCCCTCTGACATGATCCCTGACCTTGGCCTCTTACCGCAGGGCTTGTCAGTGCCAGGCTGGCTCCAGTATTGGCAGATTGGCCCCCCACAGAGCCCGTCTTCCCCGATCCTCTCAGCCTATCCTGTCGGCTCTCATCACATCACGCGAGGTACCCATCCAGCCTCTCTTTCCGCTATAGTTGATGCCTTGGCCAGATCCTGCGGCCCAGAAGGGCTCAGTCCTGTTTGAAGAAACCACATAGGAAGCACTTCCAGGAGAGCCAGAGGAATTTTATCAGAGGCCATGTGACGACGTTTTTGCCTAGTTATGATATCCAAAGTCTCCTTCCAAGAGAGCCAATATTCCCAGTCTGCTTCTGTCCCCCCAGTTCCCCAAACACCAAAGTCCTTCCAAGTCTTGCTAGTTTCTTTTCCAGCCTCCCTCCCTCCAGCCTTTGGTTTCCCAGTGAGAACAAGTTCCTCAGAGAAGGGGCTGGAACTTAGGGGGTTAAGGGTAAGGAGGAAGGGCAAGACAAATGAAAATCACACTTACACTTTGGGAGTCACAAATGAACAAAGATGTAAGAYCACCCACCAGGGCCTCCACCGGGGCCTGTGTGCTCATGGTTAGTCTCTCCCTGGAAGGCTAGAGCTGCACAACAGGAATTGACTGGGGCTGGGGACAAGCTATCGATCAAGATCAAGGTCAYTGTGGAATTGGTGTGTGGCCAGGGGAGTGTAGGGACTAATGGCAATGGGAACAAGGACACATGGAACAGGCCTGGGGGCTAAAGCGGAGAGCCTTTCTCCCACCCGCCCCACTTCCACCCAACCTCCCCACCCCGCAGTGTAGCTATAACTCAGGCTCCTTTCGGCCGCAGTGGAGAAAGCGCCTGCCTACCACCTGACATACAACAGATCTGACTCTTCAAAAGAGAAAGAAGGGAAGAAGCCGGGACCCTGGAGGGAAGACCCCTGGAGAAGCCCGCTCAGGAGTTCTGTGGTAAAAAGCCCCAGCAGAGAAGGCCACTGGGCTCCCTGTCTCAATCCTGAGTTAAAGCTTTCCTTTCAGTTCTGCCCGGCAGGCAGCAGAGATCTGGGCCTTCCCTCCTGGATCCCCACTGGAGCTCGCTGGTGAGACAGCTCACTCTTCTGTTCTGGTCCTCCAAGGGTGACTTTAAGGAGTATGCCTGGAGGTCATGGGGGGGAAAGGTGAGAAAGGGACAAGATGGAGGAAAGAAGAAGCCCAGCACTTTGGAGTTTTCTGACTATAATATTTTCTCATCTGTAGCAGGAGGTACCAAGATGGTGCCTACTGAGAGGACCTCGGCAACTTCCTTCGTGGGTGAGACCTGGAAAGGTTAGGAGTTCTGTTGAAAAAGGTGAAGCAGGACATACACGCCCTCCCACCCCACCCCCAGAAAGCCTCCAGCCAGCGGGAATGGCATCCAAGACAGCAGGTGGCAAAGCTGCTGACATTGCTGATCCTCTAGGCTGGGGCCGTGACACAGAGGGGAGACAAGCTTCGTGTGGGAGCTTGGGGGAATGAGATAGGTGCCCGGATGTGGAGTCCTGCCCGGTATTCTTCCTGCTTTAGGCCAGCGTGATCCAGAAAAGGCCAGGCACTGGTGGGAGCGGGCTGTGGCCGGGAGGGCACGAAGGGCAGATGAGCAAGGGCTGGCTGTTCTGGGAGGTGCAAAGCAGGGGTCAGTGCCCTTCCAGAAGATGGCTCGCCATCTAGATGTGATTGGATCCAGTTGTCTCTGCCCTGACCTTTCTTTGAAGTGAGGAGAAAGGCTGGTGATCACCAAAGCTCTCTCCTGCTTGTTTTTGGGTTTTGTTTTTGTTTGTTTGTTTGTTTAGGGGTTTTCTTGTTTTGTTTTTTGGTACTAAGGATTGAAATCAGGGGCACTTTAATACTGAGCTACATCCCGAGCCCTTTATATTTATTTATCATTTTTGTTTGTTTGTTTGTTTGTGGTGCTGGGGATTGAACCTGGGGCCTTGTGCACACTGAGTTACATCCCCAGCCATCTTTTTATTTTTATTTTGAGACAGAGTCTCACCAAGTTGCTAAGGTTGGCCTTGAACTTGTGATCCTCCTACTTCAGCCCTCCAAGTAGATGGGATTTAAGGCATGCACCACCATGCCTTCCTACCTGCTTCTGTGTGATATGTTTGATATTGGGTTGTTTAATTAGAAACCAACTAAATGTCAAACATATTCTTATAGCAGCAGGCAGTTCAGCATCACTCACACTTCTATCTCGACCTCTAGGGCTCTGGGACTCCTCTTTTTTACTGAACCTCTTCTCTTCAGGACTACCCGCCTCYCCAAAGAGCAGTAGATGCAACCCAGGTGGATTTCAATCTTAACCTGAAGGACTGGTGTGGGAGAGGAAGAGAGCTGGAATTGGGAATCAAATCTCTCTATATCTTGCCCCCTTTCACTAGAAGGGATCATCTTTCTTYTTGTCCTTGTGTTTTTCTTCTTTTGCCCCCTCCCCGCCATCCTCTGCTTCCTCTCCCTGGGACTCTGGTTCCCTAATTCTTTTCCCTGGCTCCTCTCCACAGTAGGGGTCTTTGRTTTCTCTGCTTTCCTTCAGGTCAGCTGCTGGTCTAGCTGCTGGTCTACCAGTAGTAGTCTACTAGACTATTCTGTGCCTGGAAGCTTTCATGAGTGAACTCCAGCTCCGCTCTGCCYGCTGTCCAGATTGGTGTTTCAGTTCCCACATGGCTGAGGCTTAGCCTTAATACTAACTATCTTTGACATTATGACTAATTCAAGCCATTTATTCTTCTCTGGTCACCTTGAACAGTGCCCACCTCTCCTCTGGCATATTCTTGGGTGTATGATGCCAGTATATGGGGATCAATTGCCACCTGCCAATAACAAGGCTCCAAGTGGAAAATGAACATGACTTGGAAACCCACCAGGGGGTTGGTGATGATTATAAAGGTGTGGTAGGCAATGGGTTGGGTGTTGAAGAGACAACGTGAAGAGCAARGAGCCACAGAGACCCTGGTATGTATGGACGCAAAAGTTCTAGTTAAGATCACTTGGGGGTGGAGGCTGGGGTTATGGCTCAGCGGTAAAGCGCTGTCTAGCACRTGCGAGGCACTGGGTTCGATCCTCAGCACCACATAAAAATAAATAAATAAATGTACAACTACAACTAAAAAAAAGGTCACTTCTTCGGAAAAAACAGATGCATTATCTTGGCAWTATCTTGTCTGGATTACTCTGACCCTCCCTATTTCTCTCCCTACCTCACTCGAAGCTCTGGGGTGGCCTTCCAGATCTCAATCCTACCCTCTTACTCTATTCCTATGCCTCTAGGGGAGAGGAACAACSTCTCCCTGCCAATTAGAGACTCCCAAAATAGCACAGCAATTTGATCTGGAGATCTGGGGGAATTGTCAAGGATCCTGAGTGACCTCCCCTCTTCACTGTTGTCCAAGTTCCCTGAATACCAGGAATCAAAAGATGAAACTCAACCAGTAGAGTTGGATCTGTATCCAACATAGGCTAGGGGAGAGCATGGAGGGAACTCAAGGGTAACTAGGCCCCTCAGGATGAATACTGCCATTCTAGAATTGCCAAAGTGTTCTTCTCTATGTTCTCCCCTCCCCTGTCCCTGCATTTTTTTTTATGTTTATTGTTCAGTTCTCGGCAGACACAACATCTTTATTTGTATGTGGTGCTGAGGATCATCGAGCGCGCTACCGCTTGAGCCACATCTCCAGCCCCGTCCCTGCATTTTTAAATCACCCAGAAAGAGTGGAAAGTTTCAGAGTCAGGGAGAGCCTTTCCCCTCCCCCACTTTCCATTGTCTAAAATCAGCCTCAGCTGTTCCCCCTTGCTTTTTTTTTTTTTTTTTTGGTGGTGGTTGTTGGTGGTGATGTCAGTCCATCAAAGTGTCTCACCCTGTGTTCCCCCGGGAGAATACTGATGGGGGTGGAGGGAGTTGGAAAGACCATATTGGGAATAAGAGGTGGAGCCCTAAGCAGAGATAAAGGCTCAAGTCTGGGGACCCCTCGTTGCTCCTCCTTTCTTGTCCTAGTCTCTAGTTCTCCACTGTTCACAGGTAATCCCACCAACAGCCACTGCCCATGATGGAGGCCATCAAGAAAAAAATGCAGATGCTGAAGTTGGACAAGGAGAATGCTTTGGACCGGGCAGAGCAGGCTGAAGCGGAGCAGAAGCAGGCCGAGGAAAGGAGTAAGCAGGTAGGTGGTGGCACTGGGCCATCTCACCTGCTGGGGAACCAGAGGGGGAGAGGGAAGGGGGTTCATGGGAAAGGCAGTGACCACTGAGCCACCTCACCTGCTGGGGAAGGAGGGAGAGAGGGAAGGAGGGAGAGAGGGAAGGAGGGAGAGAGGGAAGGAGGAGGGTGAGAGGGAAGGAGGGAGAGAGGGAAGGAGGGGGAGAGTGAAGCGGTTTCATGGGAAAGGCAGTGACCACTGGTGCCAGCTCCTTCTTTGGCGGGAGGGACTCCCCAGCCTCAATGGACAGTAGAGGCTATCTAGGGTCCTTGAATGCCTGTGTAACTGTGGCAAAGTCAGTGGCCTCTTTGGTGCCACAGTGTGACTGCTGGATTAGTGGACCACATTTTGGAAGAACCTGACTTCTAGAGGAAAAGGTAAGAGTTTAACATGAACCACCTCTTTTCTCTTCAATAGTGTCACAGGTATCTTTCTACGCTCTTGGATATTTACCATCTAAGGGTCTTGGATGAAAACCCAGGATGGTTTGTTGATCTTAGGATCAGAGACTTTAGGGTCCCAGATCAAGTCACAACATTACTCCTGGAGCAGTGGGATGAAGGTGGTTGAAGAGAAAATGTGTCTGTCTTTGGGGAGGGTAACATGGAGGCTGGACTCAGGTCTATCAGAGTCCGAGTCTGCATGATCATGCATGATCCAGATCTCAATCCTACCCTCTTTGTGTGTGACTCTCTGGACTCCTGTAGCTGGAGGATGAATTAGCAGCTATGCAGAAGAAGCTGAAAGGGACAGAGGATGAGCTGGACAAGTATTCTGAAGCCTTAAAGGATGCCCAGGAGAAGCTGGAGCTAGCAGAGAAGAAAGCAGCTGATGTGAGTATGAGAGAGATGGAGGATGTGTTTCATCTACACACAGACATCTTCATATTAATATATTCCAACACACTCTGACATATACATACTTGTGGGCTCATGGAACATAGATATATATACCTATACACATTTTTGCATTTAATCACATGCCAGTAAATCCTCATAATGGCATATATTTTCTTTCTCAAAGACATGTTGGGGTTGGGGATGTAGCTCAGTGGTAGAGTACTTGCCCAGCACACATGAGAAAACGGGTTGAAAGGAAAAAAAAAAAAAAGAAAGAAAGAAAGAAAGGCCCAGTGCAGTGGTGCATGCCTGTAATCCCAGCAACTTGGGAAGCTAAAGCAAGAGGATTGCAAGTTCAAGGCTAGTCTGGGCAACTTACCAAGACACCCTGTCTTGCAATAAAATATAAAAAGGGTTGAGGATGTGGCTCAGTGGTTAAATACCCTGGGTTCAATTCCCTGTCCAAGGAAAGAAAGAGA